GAGCCGGTCGAAAAACTTGTGTGGAGCCGCTCATGGCTGTGTGGGGCTAGGTATGCATGTTATTTTTTTTGTACATCATTACGGTTCTTCGTTCGGGAAGCCGCGGCCATCTTGTCCGCCCTCGTTCCGCCGTAATTGTTTCGCGGTACACGTACAATCTTTTTGCGTCGTGCGTGCCCTAAATGAAGCACGAGCCACGATTGTGGTTGCTGGGACCTTGGTTTGAGACGTCGTTTATTTGTGTCTGCAGAATAGGCTATTGTTTTAAAGTTTGTTTTTTGCCGGGGTGTCATGCGCTCAACACGGTGTTGACGCACGGGAACCTGCATATGTGCAACTACGCGCTAACGCATTAACGACCGACGAATTATTACAAAAGAACATAAACCTGGTACTTGTTATCCGGCTGCGAACGTTTGTCCCGAGGGGCAGAACAACGTTGCATGATGAGAGGGCACAATCTGGCGACGTTGTGAGTCAAAGCTTATCTAACCCACAAGGTTATGCTGTGTGTGCTTACCTGACCCGGCCAGGTTATGCCACCGGGGTCAGCAACCTGAGACGTTGTATTAACTGAAAATAGAGTGTTTTTTTTTCGGCATTGTACAATGGTGCATATAATGTGCACCTCGGCCACGTGTACGTACGGCTGAATTTGTTGGGAGAGGAGTTGCCGGCTAGTTGCATGCTTGATGGGTGTGGTACGCGGGCGCTTTCGGCGTTGGTATACTTGGTCATGCAGTTTCAGGGCTGCAAATAATTATAAACGTAAGGAAAGGTCGGGGGACTCTCACACCTGATACAATACGAGATGGTTGTATGGCGACCTTTTGGGGCGAAGAGGGGGAGCGGACCTTGTCACATTTGCCCGTGAGATGGGCTTTGGATAACGCTCTCTGCCTTGGTGTATCACCCTTACATAGTGAAGGTTCAAGGTATGGCGAGGCTAACGCGCAAGGTCCATATGTTTTTTCCGTGGTATGAGCCGCGGGTGTGCACCCGACAAAAGGGCGGAGAATCTATTTTCTGTGCCGTTGAACCTTTCTACACGCATTTGTATTGTCAGCCACTGGCCCCTATGGCGTGTGGTAAGTTCGTACGTAGTCGTACATAGGAATGGCTGGGTTGATTCGCATGAGCTGCAACGTATAGCTCTGCATGAAATATATGTTTCGTACCGTGGGGGGTGTATGCGACGGGTGGACTGTGATGATTCAGGGTCGGCCAAAGTCTTCTTCAGCGTGACGCTGTCCAGGGTTTTATTCATGACCAATGTACAGGGTTCGACTGCATCGACCTTATTAATGGCCACATTGTTACGGGAACACAGGGTCGAGTGATGACAAACATGTGTAAGGTCGAGGGTAAGAACCTTGCCCAGGGTTCTACCCCTAATCATGTGCAGGGTAGGCCCCGAGATCATGGACAGGGTTCGACTGCATCGACCTTAATAAGGTGGCCACATTGTTACAGCGCCACAGGATCGAGTCATGCCCAACATGTGCAAGGTCGAGGGTAAGAACCTTGCCAAGGTTCTTGTACCCATAATAATCATGTGCAGGGTAGGCCCCGTGATCACATGGACAGGGTTCGACTGCATCGACCTTATTAAGGTGGCCACATTGTTACAGCCCCACAGGGTCGAGTGATGACGAACATGTGCAAGGTCGAGGGTAAGAACCTTGCCAAGGTTTTTCTACCCATAATCATGTGCAGGGTAGGCCCCGTGATCACATGGACAGGGTTCGACGGCATCGACCCCAATAAGGTGGCCACATTGTTACGGCCCCACCGGGTCGAGTGATCACAACCACATGTGCAAGGTCGAGGGTAGGAACCTTGGCCAGGTTTCTACCCTTAATCATGTACAGGGTAGGGACCTATGATCATGTACAGGGTACCAGTGCATGGACCTTATTAAACTGGCCACATGCTTACGGGCGACAGGGTGTTGCGGGACGGGACCCTGTGCAAGGGCACAATGGCCACGGGTGTAACCGAAAACTAAAAGTAGTGGACTTCAACCAAGCGGTCTTCCATCCGAGGGTAGCCAAAACATCTACCACCTCGACTTGCCCAATTCGACCAGAGGCTGTCGCGGACCCGGGCTCAAGGTTTCGCCAGGCGCCGCCTCTTTCCATTTTCTCTCCCAACCCCTGTGTTCCAAGCGGCGGCGAAAGCGACGGCACCCCTGGCCATGGAGGACGCCGCAGGACACATGTATATTCAGAATGATCAGGACAGGGACGGTGCAAATATTAGTGAAAGCACAGACAAAAGACATTAGCGCAAAGCAGGGTCACGATGCGGGACTACACAGGAAAGACGCTCATCACTCAGCGAGCTTTTCTCACGCTGACACACGGTCACACCTGTCCGTTTACGTTCAAGGTGCGAGGTAGCCCCTCAACAACACCGTCGGTCATCCGGCGCTACGTGTATACACTCTCGAACCTCGAACGCCGTCGATGACATTAAGCTCCACACATCAAAGACTGCAACGCAAGCGGATCTACAGAGTGCGCACCAGGAGGAGCTAGCGGCGGGCCTCTCAGCTGCTGCATGCACTTCAAGGTCACGCTTCCCCGCGTGTACTCGCTGTTGTTGAGAGAGCAGCAGCAACAGCACCCGAGAGAGCAGGCGGGAATAAATTTTTTTGATGTGTACTGTAGACCGCCATATCCCATATACAGAAAGAGAGGGTTCCGGCAGGGCCACAAGTAAGACGGGCGGTAACGTCTTGCTGCTGGTGGCGTTCACATGTACAGCAGTAGTGGACGTCACCCACCTCCCTCTAGACTATGGAGTATTCTACGTTGCGCGGCCTTCCTGCTTTTTTTTTCCTGACTTTGTTTTGGACCGCACCGACCGCCTGTCGCGCCTACATACTATAATACCGTTGTCCTTCTTCCTTCTTCCCTCTTCCATCCCTACTGCTGCTGCGTGTACGTCTTTAGACTAACCGACGTGCTGCGTGTGTATGTGATTCGTTTGGGGCGTGTGTGAGGAGGCGAGATATAGTCTCCGACGTCCACGCGGTGTAGGACGTCACACACACCCGTTCCGGCTTCTTGTTGTGCAGGTAGGTGTACAAAAAAAGGGCTCGTTCTAAATACGGCGAGACGCAAGGATTCAGATACGTTTGTTCCTCCCATGGGGGGTACGGTACTGCTGCTCACTCTAAAACAACGGCAGCATGTCTGCCAGCCAGGTACCACAGCATGCACACGGCAAAGGTAGGGACTTACCTGCGCCCGGTAGGAGCGCCGACGCGGACAGTCGATTCTTTGGGAGGTTGGACGTGCGGTGTGCGGTGTCCCCGATAATGCCACGCCGTGTTGATTGTCTTTCCGTTGTTCTCGGAATTAATTCGCACGGTTGGTTACAGTAATTCCGGACCGTTCTTCGGAACGGAGTCCGTTACTCCACACGAACTCTGAACACTCTCCGTGATGTCATGCAAAGCAGAACCTAAGTTAAAATCAACCCAACTAAGGCGAATATTAGTACAGAAGAACTAAGCGAGGCATCTACATTTATTTATTTTGTACATTAAAATAACAGAAACTATAACTGTATTTTCCGCAGTTCTTCTTTATTAAAATACACGTAGTTCCTTCGTATAATAAAAATAATGATGAATATATATTTATCATAATAATTAATAAATATTTTATCATAAAAATATTAATTAAATAATTAATATATTCATAAAAATTAAATATATATATATAAATAAATTAAATAAATATATTTTATAAATAAATATTATTATATATATATAAATATATAAATATATAATATATATATAAAAAATATATATAAAATATGTATAAATAAATTTAATAAATATATATACAAAATATATATAAATAAATATTATTACAAATAAGTATTTATAAATTATAAATTATATATATTTAATAATATATATTTTTATTATAATAATATTGTTTTCAGGAAAAAACTACATTATTATTATATAATATCATAAAATGTTTCTCATGGTAGCTCATGGTGCCCCACCGTCGTACATGCGTGAGGTTTCTCATGGTGCCCCATGGCCAGCATAAAATTGGGGCCCATGGCCACCCATAGTGCACTTCGTCGTCACCCATGGTGACCCTCGGTATCCCACGGTACCCCATGGGGTTTCGAAGATAAGTTTGAAAAAAAAAAAATCCGACAGGGAAACGCGTAATATTGTAGGAAATAAATAAAATAGTTAGTAATTTAATTATACCCCGTGGGTTCTCATGAGGCGCCATGGGAAGACACGACTTCCTCATGGACCCCCATGGGCTACCAATTTTATTGAAATTAACAAAATAAACTGGTAGACTCCACGGTGACCCATGGTGCCCCATGGGGCCTCATGGGGCGCCATCAGGCCTCATGAGGCCCATAGCTTTTATTTTATTTCCACTTTTTTCGCTTTTTATCTTTTGTTTCTCATGGGATCTCATGGTGCCCCATAGCACGCCATGAGGGCTCATGGCGAACGATAAAAAATTATATTTACGGACCCCATGGCAAATCTCATGGGGCACCATGGGGTGGTTTTCCATGGTACCCCATGAGATATCTCATGAGACTATCGATTTTTATCGTGGTCCATGGGGACCCATGGCTCCCATGGACCCCCATGACAATACATGAGATTTCTCATGGGGTCCCATGGGATTCTCATTGGACCTCATGAGGACCCATGGGGGCCCATGGGTTCCCATGAGATTGTTCTCATGGGGGCCCATGGGACCCATGGACCCCCATGGGTCACCATAATATCGACCTCATGGGGTTCCATGGGGGCCCATGGGCGCCCATGAGATATCTCACGGCGTTACACAAAAATGTCAAACCCCCCATTTTCCCGTGGAAGTGACTCGCTCTTACTCGCGAAGAAAGTGTTGTTGCACCTGTGGTACCGCCTTGCCTCCTCAAAACATCCGAGGAACTGATCGTGCGTTGGCGGGCCAATCGTTGGCAGCAGCATCGACATGAAAAGTGTGAGTGGGTTGTCGTTGTCTTCGATCTCTTTCCCAAGGACATTCTGTCCGTACGTGTGTCGGCAGCAGACTAAATAAACTTGACGCGGTCGATTGGTAGAGTGAGTGGGATACAGTATATATATGTAATATATGTACATACTGTAACGGGATAAACCAAAGTAATGCGAAACACGGGGGAGATTGATCCACCCGCACCCGGAACACCCCCACAGCAGTAGATGCAGCAGTGCCGTAACCAGTAGCCCTCGTTGTAAAGCCAGCTACCTTTCTTTTGAGGCTTTGTCCCATACATACATACAGTAGTACAGCCGCATGCACTACTATAACATGTCATGTGAAGACAACAACAAGACCTAGAAGGGCGGAGGGGAGAAGAGTGGAGACCGGGTCAACACAAATCACACCCCCGGCCTACACCTTCACGATCAGTATTATATTAACACCAGCGAGCCAACAGACAGAAGGTAACTCTGTCTGCCCCCAACACAAAGGCAATGTGCCATACTGACCCCCCCCCCCTCCCGTCTTGATAGATTTGCTGCATTTACATGTACACACATGACCCACTGTAGTAGAGTTCCCGCCACTCCTTGGTCTCGACGCAAACTCACGCCCGGGAAAAACCAGGGATGTTCACGCTGTGCAACCGCACCGCGGTGGGGTTTCCTGTTTCTTGACTTGGTCACCGTGCGGTGCGGTTCGGTTTTATCGTATCACGGTGCGGTGCGGTGCGGTTCACCGTCGCACGGTTTTATATTTTTTCTACCCCGTAATAAAAACCGGGCGGACCGCGGCCTTGGCGGCGGTGCACCGTCGAAGAACACCGCGGACAATACTACGGCTGTCCGTGACAAAATGACGGGGTCTTCACGATTTTTATTTTTTCGTGGAATATGTGTTAAGGAGTGTGGCTGCTAGCTTAAATAGGGTACATCTTATTGTTGATAGGATGTGGGTCGGTCTCAGGAGGTATACCCTTCAGACACCTACCCTCTTAGGATTTTGTCTAGTCTGCGTACCCCCCTGAGGTGAAGTTGGATCCCCACTTCACCTCAGACCCTTGCTGATCGTCTCTCAGCAATAACAAGCAACTTTCTCATCTCTACGTGATCGTGGACAAGCGTGTCAACGACAGAACCTACCTTCATCTATCTCTAGGAGCAAGCTACCACCCACGGCTTCCCCTCCTTTAAACTTGGCGTCAGCGGCACCCCTCCTTTAAACTTGGCGTCAGCTGGCATTACACGGTAAGCGGGTGCTGGACGCGGCCTCCACTGCTGTGTGTTGTTGTCACGCTTTCTTCACAATCACGGGGTTGTTTGTTATTTGGTCTCACCACCCACGAGATTCTAGACTTAGCCTTCTCTGCTTCTTCTCTTGTAGAGGATGCTGGCTTGCGATGCTTTCGCTAAGCGCCCGCGGGACTGGGACCTTGCGAAGGATACGCGTCTCGGCGGTCATCGCGATGTTGTAGGTGATTTTTCCTACGCTCGCCGCCCCTCACAAGCTATTTTGTCTGCATCGGCGGTCCATGAAGTTATTTCGGTGGCGGACACGCTTTGCATGAAGCAACCGGAGTTGCTGTCTTTGTGTAGCGGGACTCGAGATGATAGCATGCTTCCCGCGTCCGCTACAACTTCTACTGCATTCATGCCGGCGTACCGGCCGATGTCCGCGGATTTCCCTGTGGTGCTCTCCGATTTGACTCCGCTTGTTTCGACGTGGAGAGCATTGTGTGCACACAAATTGGGTGTCAGCCGCCCCACCAGCCTTCCCTCCATTTTTCGCAATCACATGGAATTTTTTTTTGGAGCATCATTCACCCTCAAGGCATTCGAATTGGAAACCTTTCAACAGCGCAAACCCACAGCGGTCTTTGCTCGCACTTCGGCACCCGTTGCGGAGGAACGCCGTGCTGCTCTGCGTGTGTTTTGGTCGGACATTCTCGTGTCCCCATTTAATACCGGTCCTTTTGTGCTAGCTTCCACTGCTGTGTATGCGTGGCATGGTGTGCTTTTGGACGCCTTTTCTGCTTGGTTGGATCCGCTTCAACCTCGTGTGTTATGTCCTGCACTCTTTCGGCGATAAATGTCCACCGTTTCACGTCACCGCGGATGATGTGTCGGTGCCTGTCGGGCGCCTCGAGGTCGACTACATTTCGGGACACCAATTGGTGCGGGGCCGTAGCGGCGTTCTCGCTGTCCTGTACCAGACGCATTGGCTAGGCCTGACTACTCCTTCTTGGGAACGGGAGTCCGACCTCGATCAATTCCGTCGACACATCCTCTTGTACTGGTCTCGAGAGGTCTGCCAAAGCAAGCAGGGTAACCGCACGTATCGAGTGGCTCGGACACGCGCGGCACAACGGGAGCTCGCCCGGAATCGTGGCGAACGCTATTTGCCTCCTGGGGCTGACCTTGTGCTTCACGCGACTTGGCTCCGTCGCTTCAGCATTTCGCCCCTTCCAGTAGGAGCGCAGCTGTGGTACAAGGCCCGCGACGGATTATGGTGGGCAGGACGTATTGGTGCTCATCAGGACGGCTCGTACATCGTTCGATTTCTGGATGACCCGGGCCCCAGCGTTCTCCCTCTGCCTGCGCACCTCTACTCCACCGCCTTGGACGCCGTCTGTGGATCGTGGTGTTTAGAAAAACATCGCTCGCGCCCTTTGGGCGACGCCCGGAATCGCACTCCTCCCATTACTGACTCCTTACCGTCGGCTGTTCCCAATCTCTCTTCCTAGCGTTGCCGTTTAGGTTCGAGCTGGTCTATCTTGGATTTTGTTTGTTTGTTTGTTCGTTTGTTTGTTTGTTTTTTTTTTCTTTTCCTTCTTGTTTTCTCCGTGTGGTTTGCCTCTGAACACTTGGAAAAAGAGTTCCCCAAGTTTCGTCGGTGTTGTTTGCCTCTGAACACTTGGAAAAAGAGTTCCCCAAGTTTCGTCGGTGTTGTTTGCCTCTGAACACTTGGAAAAAGAGTTCCCCAAGTTTCGTCGGTGTTGTTTGCCTCTGAACACTTCAACAACGAGTTCCCCCAGTTTCGTCGGTATGTTCGCCTTTGACCAGGCAAACACCGAGTTTCTCGTGTTTCCCTTGGTTCGCCTTTCGCCAACTCATTTTTTTTTTTTTTAGCTCCACCGTATCGCCGAAGTGTCATCTAGGCTTGTTACTTCGGGCTTCCATCCCGTGGCGTCGTCTTCTCCCGTGGACATTCGTCGTCATCCACACTTCGTTCCACTTCGTCTCCGTCATCGCTACCTGCCGGCGACGCCTTCATCATCGTCGAGCCCTTGAGTCGTTGTGTTGTTGTGTGTATCTCTGCGATTTTTCTGTGTTATCTGAGTCTTCCTGTGTTGTGCTTTGCCCGCGAGCCAGGGAAAGTTCGTCAGATCGCTTCTCAGACGTTGATCATTCATGCTTTGCATTCTTGGTTTTCATCAGGTCTTGCCGTGGCCGCCTCTCTATACGGTTTGAGTTCTCTGACACGCTAGAAATTGTTGTCAGTGTGTTCGCCTGTCATTCATTTCTCCTGCTCTTCTTTGACGCTTTCCTAGATTGGTTGCGTTGATATCTTCCCCTTTACGTCGCGTCCAGTATCAAAGGCCGTATTCGTTCGGAAATTTGCTTGGGTTTTGAGTTTTGTTGCAGTATTTTGGGGCTCTCTCGGGTAGTCGCCCTCATCCCTCCCATTGTTATACGCGCGGGTGCGCGTAAAAGAGTGGTGTGTGGCGTTTAGGTTTTGACTTTATTTCTCTTGCCGTCGTCTGTTGCGGATAGCGTGCTGTGCAGCACTACATATTTTTTCTTGGCCTTATCCCTTCATTGATAGGAGCGTTGTCATTGAGATGTCGATGTGTCGTCTCGTGGCCGTTCGCATCCATCTTTCGTCTCAATAATGATGGTGTGGGGGTTGATTCGGGATGTTTCTACAACTCACCCTCCTTTTTGGATGTTTTGTGAAGAGTCATATCTTCGATTCATGAGCATCAATCGTCAGCTAAAATCTTCGTTGTAGCTTTTAGGAGTTGAGCATTGATTTGAGTATAGAATCTGCATATATGATATTCAGGGTGGGCTAGTGTTAAGGAGTGTGGCTGCTAGCTTAAATAGGGTACATCTTATTGTTGATAGGATGTGGGTCGGTCTCAGGAGGTATACCCTTCAGACACCTACCCTCTTAGGATTTTGTCTAGTCTGCGTACCCCCCTGAGGTGAAGTTGGATCCCCACTTCACCTCAGACCCTTGCTGATCGTCTCTCAGCAATAACAAGCAACTTTCTCATCTCTACGTGATCGTGGACAAGCGTGTCAACGACAGAACCTACCTTCATCTATCTCTAGGAGCAAGCTACCACCCACGGCTTCCCCTCCTTTAAATATGTTAGATTTGGTCCATCTAAATGAGGCCGCCACGACAAATCCCGCGGCTTGCGGTCAGAAAACCCGAAAACCCCATACATACAACAAGAGCTACGATCATTTACTATAGACGTTACTACAACACGTATCAACAGCAGCTACATTCCTCACTTGCTTCTACTACTGTTGTTGGAATATGCCAGAAAAAAATTAGAAACAAATCTGGCAGCACCACCAGGCGGCTCATGCTCGCCACTGGCTACAACCAGATGGCGGTTTGTGTGCGTGATGTGGGGACACGGTGTTGCGTCTGTGCTGGTTTAAAAGAAAAAAATAATGTTCAATGTTCCTTCCTGGTGTATGTGTCTGTGTTAAGGAGGACCCGATTCGCAGGGTATCCGTCGATTGACTTTTACCAGAATCGGTACACCTTCGCTTATTATGGCGTCAGCGGCAGGACGTGCACCCAAGGAGATTCGAACCAGTATCCTGCTGACGCCATAAGCGAAGGTGTACCGATTCTGGTAAAAGTCAATCGACTGATACCCTGCGAATCGGGTCCTCCTTAACATCTGCACGACAAAACCGTGCCTTAGCTGCGTTTTTTGCCGCGGTTTACTGCGGTTTCGGCTACGGGGTAAGAAAAACCGCACCGTGATAAAACCGCAACTAGCTAACCGCACCGCACCGCACCGCACCGCACCGCACCGCACCGCACCGCACCGCACCGCACCGTAGAGAAAAACCGCACAGTGAACATCCCTGGGAAAAACCAGACACTTGAAGGGCCGACTACTTGCTGCCTCGCCGTTATCCAACGCGGACTACGGGATACATCACACTTCTCCCCATCTGGTACCCTGCCCTGGCTGCGTAGTCACCCTCTCAGTATTCGCCAACAGCTCCGAAAATAGCACTGGTAGCTACTCTCCACCATCGCCCCCGGAGACCCTCCGGCGAGGCACCCCCCGCCGCCAATTGTATTGCGCCCCCAATCCGAAGGGAGTGCAGCGCGTACTCGGCGGGCTGCAAACCCGCCAACGCCACCACGTGCCGAAATGGCCAAGGTCGCTCGATATTTGGTCCACGTGGCCCGCCGGCCCTGACCAACACCGAAAGCAACCGAAGGCGCACGCGAAGGCAAAAAGGTAAAAAGAGAAAGCAGCTTTATCATCACATCCATCCACTGCACCACCCCCGTTATCGACCCCGTAACACGGGCCTTGGCGCGTCCGCGTGCACACAGCCCCTTTCCGAAACTGGTCCCCTGTGGAAGAGCGAAAACGCACCCCCACACCATCCGCCGCCGGCCAATGTGCCTACTGAAGCAACTGCTCTGCTCCCGGAAACAACGCTCCGTCCCCCCGACGAAACCCATGAATCTCATTCATAGACAATTTCGACACCGCAAACGTCTCGGATGCTCGCGTCGAAAAAAAGGGAGAAGCACTGAGCGCGCAGAAATATAATACGCCCACCTACGCCCCAACGGTACCCGACGAATCCCCTGTTGCAACACCGCCCCAAGACACCGCCCGCCGCACCAGCTGCTGAGTGCCCACATCGGCATGCCCCCGCGCCGCCCAACGGAGAGCACAACGCACCAGCGGATGCTGCGTGTCAAAAGGTGACTTGCAATGGTGAATTGCAAGGTCGACTGCTGCAGACCCAACGCAGAAAAGCCATACGCAACAAACTTGATCAGCGACATCACGCGGCACACGGCACAGTCACAGCAGCAATGAACTCCGGCCGATGCACGACGGCCACACAATAATTCACCCAGCCTCCCAAAAGACCCAGGTAAGTTCTCTCAGACGTTCGCGCACGTGACTGGCGGACGAGGCTGGCCCCAGCATGGCGGAGCACATCTCTTGCCCAGCTTGATTCAACTTCACTTTCTGCCATCGCACATTCGGGGCAGCAGCACAGAGGTTGTTGTACACGTCAGCGGGAGGCCAGCGAGAAATGCCACCAGCAAGCGAATTTAGCACACCAGGCACATGCGACGAATAAACAGCCACCCGCTAGACACTTCAAGTGCCCCCAACATCCGCATAAGTGCGCTGACCGCGGCTCCGTGCCACCGCGACAACGCTGAATCTACGCTTACTGGCTGAATTATGTCCCCGCAACTGGATGTAATCTGGCAACGGCCGGCACATGCTGCTGCAGGGGAATCAGAACCTACGCCCCAGCAAACATACCGAGCAGCTCAAGAATGTCAATGCTAATATCAAGCTCTGACACCGACTTGCTAGACCCCAAAAAACAGGATCGTCACTCGTCAGCTCACGCCGACAGTAACATCGGTATGCACACAATACGCCCCGAATGCGGTTTTGGAAGCATCGGCAAACAAAGCCATGGTTGGACGACGAAGCACAACATTGTGAACACAGCTGCCCCGCACGCGACGTGATACCCTGCTCCACAACCAACGCCAAGAATCAAAATCATCGTGAAACAAGGGTCCCATCACGACACGTCTGTTGGGGTTGGAGACACGCGAAGGGAAACCTCAGAGTGCGGCATGCCAGCAGAAGCCGACAAAGAATTTTCTTGGGGCGCAGGGCAAAGGCCACGTGAAGAAGAAAACCGGTAAATTTGCGTTTGTGCTTCTTGGTCACGCGAGAGGCCATCATCTCAGTTGGCCATTGAATCGGTGAAAACCCAGAGGTAAAGACTTCACCATTGTTTTGATTTGTTTGTCCTGGACCAAGGGGCGCCGTTCGTTTCCAGTCCAAGCGCCGCAGGTATGGCTCCTTTCCTTTTGTAACAGAACCTTATTCACGCCTACTACGGCACGCAACAATTCAATACCAGCACTTGATGCGTATGCTTTAGAACATGAGCCGCCAGTCTTTCTTTTTGCCTTGGATTCGCATGGTTGAACTTGGCGCGTAAGCCGCCACACCCGTTGTGCGTTCTATCGCTTGTGGTATACCGCAGATCAACGTCGACATCATGGAGATTCTCCGCCTGGAGGCCGAGCTGAAGACCTCATGTGAAAGTGAAACATCGCATGTCAGTCTAGACGCCAAGGTGAATATCCTCAAGTACCTTCAAGTCCAGGCGGTACAACAGTTTCAAGCAGCGTACGACGAATTGTACTACAAGCTCAACCTGACGGGAGAGCTTGATTGTCTTCGCAGCATCGCCCGGGCCCGATCGACGGGCTTCTTCCAGCCCAAGGTCCTGGACCTTCGGGGCTGCTGTGAGGACGGACAGCTTGAAAAGAGGCTACAGTTCTATCTTTAGGACGCCGAGCTTGCAAGGCCTCATTTGAACGAGCTCGTAACCCAAATTGGACAAGAACCGAGCATGTACGAGGTTCAATGCGCGAACGTCAAGTCACGGGAAAGTACGCGACGGAAAGCGAACACGTTCTATGCTGGGGACGTCAGACAGGTTGCTGACATGGCTGGGGTGACTGTGATCTGCGCCACACCGAAGGCCTTGAAAGAGGCGTACTTGGCAATCATGGGATTGCGCAAGGTAAGTAGGACATGCAGGTTTGCCGACAACCCGCAATTTTTGCGAGTTCCTTTGCTCGAGGTTTCCTCCGAGAAGTGTTGGTAGGATCAGCAGTTTTGGCGCCCGCAATGAGGTCCCTTTCGTCCGCCTGCCAGCAGCCACTCGCTTACGTCCACCCACCACTTTCTTCACAGGGCAAGGTTGCTGAGGCCAACCCGTTGAACGAGCGGTCACTGGCTATTCGAGAAAAAGCCTTGGGGCCGGAGCACCCGGATGTGGCTCAGTCGCTCAACAACAGGGCGCAGTTGTTGACAGCTCAGGTGCGCGTCCAAGGATTTTCCTGGAATACCACGGGGTCGAAAACTACTACAAGCGAGTGGAATATTTCGGTTTTGGCAGACCGCTGGCTGACCGAACCCACTTTGTATGGAACAGGGTAAGTACGACGAGGCCAAGCCACTTCATGAACGGTCACTGTTAATACGAGAGAAGACGCTGGGCCCGGAGTGGTGTGTCCGAGTCGCTCAACAACCTGGCGGGGTGCTTGGAGAGCCAGGTGAGAACCAAACGAATTTTCTAGATGCTGCTATCATAAGACAATATATAGTCTCACGCAGTTCCAGGTCTCAATTTGGCTCTTGTATGGCTTTCCGCCGCACGGTTCACCACATGTCGTCACGAGTGTGCTGAGACATAGCCACTCTGTGAACGGTCACAAGTCGTTCCAGGGTTCTGGGCCTGGAGCACCCGGATGCCGTCCAGGCATTTGTTTTGTTTCACACTTCGAATTGCCTTGCCCGTCACGTTCCAGGGCAAGCACGAAGAGGCCGAGCCTCTGTACAGACGCTCGCTCGCCATCGATGAGGAAGTCTACGGTCCTGACCACCCGGAAGTCGCTACAGACCTCAACAACTTGGCGGGGTTGTTGGAGACACAAGTGAGAACCAAAGGATGCTTCTGGATACTGCGTGCCAAGGCACACTTAGGCCGAGCCACTATGAGGTATGGCAAGCGATAAACGACTTGGTTTCGAAACACACGAACATGGCCACAACGCTCACCAACCGCGCGCTCATTCGTCCGCAATGAGCTTTGCTCGCCTTGGCCAAGCTCGCATCAAGCTTTTCCTTTCCCCTTCCAGGGCAAATATGCTGAGGCGGACCGTCTGTACCTTCGAGCTATTGAGATCGGAGAGAAAGCGTTGGGGCCTGACCACCCAAATCTGGCGATATCGCTCAACAACCGGGCGATGTTATTGGAGAACCTGGTGAGAACCAAACAAGCTTCTACACGCTTGTAGCACAAAATGCTCCTCTGAAGTTTGATTTACTGAAATCCGACTCTCTGCCGCGCTAGTCACCGCAGATCATGACAAGCGTGGTGAGACAGAGCCACTCTGTGAACAGCCACGAGCCCTCGACCGATGTTCTGGGCCTGAGGCAGCCGGATGTCGCCCAGGCATTTGTTCCCCCGCACATCCAGCGTCACCAAACGAATTTCTCTCCTACTCTTCTTATTCACATTCCAGGGCAAGTATGAAGAGGCCGAGCCTCTGCACAGACGCTCCCTGGCCATCGATGAGGAAGTTTACGGTCCTGACCACCCGAACGTTGCTACAGGTCTCAGCAACTTGGCGGGGCTATTGGAGAGCCAGGTAAGAACCATTCAATGAAAATAATGTTATGCTTCTACAGTAGAAAGAGCATGCTCCTCGTCAGGTGCAGAACTCGATTTGACTGAAAATTGACTCTCTGCCGTGCTGTTCAAAGCGCATCGTGACCTAGTATGCTGAGACAGAGCCATCTGTGAACAGGCACAAGTCTTGTGAGGGAAGATTTTGACTTAGGGCAACCGGATGTCGCCCAGGCATTTGTTTTCTCGCACATCCGGCGTCACCAAACGAATTATCTCCTTCCGTTCCCGTCACATTCCAGGGCAAGGATGAAGAGGCCGAGCCTCTGTGCTGACGCTCGCTGGCCATCGATGAGAAAGTTTACGATCCTGACCACCCGGAAGTCGCTACAGACCTCAACAACTTGGCGGGGTTGTTGGAGACCCAGGTGAGGATGCTTCAACTTAGATGCTACAGATGAACATATTCCTCGGCAGTTCGAGATCTCGATTTGACTGAAATTGGACCTCTGCCACACGGGTGACCACCTTTCATGGCAAGTATGCTGGGACGGAGCCGCTGTATGAGCGATCATGTCCCACACGAGGAAAGGTGCTGGGCCTGTAGCACACTGGTATAGCACAGGCGCTGAACGGCCGGGCGGGCGTGGTTGAGAACCTATTCTTCGATGTAGATCCCATTTTGATTCCACTGTGAGCACGACGCTGCCACGCTGTCTACCACTGCATACCAGGGCAAGCAAAGTGAGGCCGGGCCACTGTACTAGCGGTCGCAGACTATACGAGAGGAGGTTCTAGGTCCGGAGCATCCCGATGTGGCCACAACGCTCAACAACCGGGCGGGGTTGTTTAGAGATCAGGTGAGGGCAGATCGAACCCACTCTGTATCGCGCAGGGTAAGTACGACGAGGCTGAGCCACTTTACGAGAGAAGGCGCTGGGTCCGGAGCACCTCAAGGTGACCCGGTCGCTCGACAAACCGGTGGCTCAGTCGCTCAACAACTGGGCGTGCAAGAATGTGTCTTCGAACCACTTTGGCACATCGTCGTGATACAAACAACTCTTTTTGGGGGGTGCAACTCCCGTGCGATGTCGAAGCACCGCCGTGCAGATGGTCGTACTGCGTACAACAATTGCTGTTCAAGTCCCGTATATTGTGGCATTTCCCTTCGGATGGGCACCTTTGAGTGTAGCGCCCCCACTCGTAAGCACCACCTCTGTCTCTTGCACAAAAACTTCAGGCTGTAGGTTGTGTCTGCATTGTCGCTCAAACCCGCCGTTAAGTTCTCAATTCGTGCAATATAATTTTCTGTGCGGAATTTGCGTCCCGTTATCAGGTTCTCAAAGCGCTGTACTGCTGTACTATTGCATGCGTTGCGTCTTCCTTTCTACGTAGGCATGCGGCACCGTTCTCTCGAAGCCTGTGTTGACATGGCAATCTCATAACCCTATTATTGTTTCGAACATCCACAGGGAAAGCACACAGAGGCAGCGTCGCTCTTGGAAAGGGCCCTGACAATCAGGATAGATAAACTTGGAGAAGACCACCCACACACCATGAGCACCCGGACACTCTTGCAACAGGTTTGTGCACAGGAATACAATGCATCGAAGGACAACCAACTGTTTCGTCTAGGCAATCTTCGTTTGTCCACACGACCCGTAAGCGCGCTTCTTCTCGCTCCTCACTCAGTGTAGCAGATCTCTGTTAAACGAAGCAATACGAATGCGATGGGAATACGATTGAGTATGTTCCTACTGTGAAGGCAGTACCTTCATCTGTTCAAGTTTGTGCACCATCCCGCTGCGTGCAGGTGAGCGCAATGGGCAGCGCAGCGTCGCCTGGTTCTTCTGCGGAACCATCCGACGACGACGCGAGCAGCGCGACAGGAGGCATTGAAGAAGTAAAAGCCATGTATAGGTAAGGTCGAGGCTTCACCCAACGGTCGACCAGCCGGACGGTTTGCTACCTACGACGCAATCAGTTATACCAGTGTCCACCTGGACCCTGTAAGAATTTTTCCGAGAGGTCCGAGAAGAATCCTCACGTTTTGAGTTATATGTTTTTGGTGCATTCGGCAGAAGGGGAAGGGGGTCAGGGTCCCGGCCATCTGGCATCGCACTGCATAACACCTCAAGGTCGGCTTGTCTGGATAGCTGGGGCACATAGAGAAGGCGAAGTGTCTTGGTGACAGGCTTTTGATTGGGAGGGGAGAGACTAGCGGGGTCGCGGAGAAGTAATAGCCACGATAAAAGGACGGGTAGACGACTCCCCGAAATTCCTTTTGTCCCCAATCGGAAATTCGATTCGAAAATACTTGGTGCATGTGCGATTCATTAGGCTGGGACGAATCACACAATAGAGTGGCTAATGCAGTGCACGATTCAAAACCCCCTCATAGCTGCTCTAAGTACGCTCCCGGTCATCTTGCGCGTCCCTCGTGGGCACCTGCGTCGTTTTCGCTCGGAAAAAATGCGATAGTCAGGATAACGGCCAGCCCGCACGCAAGAAGCATGTCACGATGATCGGGGCGGTGCTCAGGGCCGTGCGGGTGTTGGTGGATAGGGGTGGGAGGGAGTTAGTTTGTGCTAGAACACTCCGTGCATGGGCTGAAAGGGCGAGAGACGGGTGAGAGGCGCATGTGCTTTATGACGCATTTTTGGACCGGTGGGTGTGACAAGATGCAGTGGAGCATGCAAAAGTGGCCCCATGCACCGGTCGGCATTTTTGAAGGCCAGGGGATGCGCGAACGTTGCTTCAAAGGGTGACCCTGGTGCATGTCTGGGCAGATGGGCTGGCTGTGTTGGGGCTTACGTGTTGGCTATGTACAATATTTTTTCGGGAGCGTGCATGGGGTGTCAGCTGGCCGCCCCAAAAACACGTAGAAATCGGAGAGAAGCTTGAGGGAAGCTGTGGAAGCACAAAAGTAAACAATTGGAGGCAAAGAGCAAGCTGCGTTCGATAGAAACTATTCCCTGTCATTTCTTCCCGGTGGCGTGGCTTGTTTTGGCACGCATCGTGGCAGGTTTTTTGTTATTGTAGCTCGTGCGTCACTATTTTTTTGGGGTTCCGTCTGCAAAACACGCACAAGCTGGGGTTCAGGTAGATTAGAAGCGTGCGAGACGTTCGGCTTCGCCAGTTTGATATATCTCTTCCCTCAGGGGCTCGGGCAATACAAGTGTACGGCAGTTCGAAAGGAATACAAGTGTACGGCAATTCGAAAACAAAACAGCAACAAAAGGTCTTGGACTCTTTGTGGCGGCGGTGCAACCGCCTTGCTTGTCCAATTCATTAGACTGAACCACCACAACAACAAACCCTCGTAACACGACAACAAGCCGCGCCCGTTTTTCCTCGTCCCCCTTCCCGTTTGAACATGAAAGGTACTGCTGCTGCTGCTGCTGCCGCCACCGCCGCCCTGCTACTGAGAGAAAACACCCCCATCATCTATCTACAGCTCCCACAGCCGTACCGCAACGCCGGACTTTCAAAAAACCTCGCCGACAAAGGATGCGAAAAACGGCGTCGACCAAAGCTGTATCCTGCTTGTCGGTGCGCGGGGACAACGAGTGGGGCCACAAGAAGTGCGTGAGAAACGGCGGTTGTCAGCGAAGAAAAAAGAGACGCGGATCACATACCGTCTTTGCTGACCGAGCCATTCCTGTACGTTTGACCTCGCCGCCCTGGAAGATGGCTTTTCGAAGAATGAGAGAAAGATTCTCTTTTTTTTGTCTGCGGGTCGTGCAGTTAATATTCCGCTGATCAGAATTGGTCCGGCACCACAGCGCAACATCATCGCTATTGCGCCGAACACCGGAACACCCAAACTGAGTTCGGCACATCCATACATACATTTAGTCTTGTAAGGTGTGCGTTAGCATGCCAACATTCGCATGTAGATGCATCAATCCGAAGATCAAGCCCTAAACAGGTCAAGTCTATCGCACAGTCCCAAAGCACCTACCTGCGATTGGTACATTCCTCTTTCTCGGACTACAACGCGACAAATGCACACGGGTTGGAAACCAAACGAAACATCAAACAGCCCACTTTGTGCTTCCCAAACGTCAAAGACCAAGAGCGATATTCGTGTGACTCAAATGAGGACGACCCAACACTGTAGCAGTGAACGAGGGACACACGAACCAACCCGAAAGTGCTCATTGAATCCCCAGGTGATGCGCTCGTCCCTTCCCCTGCGACCTGCTTGTAACTCGTATGTTCTGGCTTGGTCCGACATGGTTGGACCCCGAGAAGGTTTGTAGGTGTGCGTGGCGGCGATGTCTAGTGTACACAAGTAAGTTGATATATCCTCCGAGGATGCCCGCCCGCTCCCCGTGACGGCAATGACAAATGGCAATACAACGAAGCTCTGCTTCTTCAGCTTCCTCTTGGGGGGGCACATAGACAACAAGCAATTGCCTCCACCGTGCCAGCAGAGTACCCCTCACTTCCTTCACAGATACCCCATGATCGTCCGGAACACCCCCTCCTGCTTCAGCCGCAGCACCCTACCCGTCAGCTCCATCCACTCCCAGTGGGCTCGTGAACCTATCTCCCAGCGGACTCGTGAACCTAACAAGACCTTCACCCAATCCCCATGGGCTCGTATTCGGCTACGTAATGCGACTATTTGCGGTCGAGCCCTCGACGCCACGAGCAAGCCCCGACGACGCCACACCTCCCTGGCGACCGTAGCGTTCGCCAGCAGCTTGAGTACGCGCTCCACGCGCCTAAGTTCTTGCTCTTTGCCGGCCTCATGATAATACGTACTTCGCCGAAACGCATCAGTCCTATCAGCGGGAGTGTCACCGTAATGAGTAGTTGCTGTTTCGTCCGCCCCCCGACTCAGCAGGAGGCCTACCATCTCCACCGCGCCTGGCTTCGATGCCTTAGTCTATTAAGTTATCTGCTGCTCTGTGCAGTGGGATGCATCCATACTTATCACGAGCAGAGCGTTGATGTCCGCTCCGCGCTTGAGCAAAGCGACGGCAGCTTCAAGACTCAAATCGTCGGAAGCATCGTGAAGAGATGTACCACCGCCTGCGTCCCTTTCATGCGTGCTGGCCCCAGCCCCTACGAGAATGGCGATTGCCTCTGGCTGGATGTTTTCGCGGCCATGTGAAGGGCTGTAATTAATTCCGGATTCTCGGTGCCATTCGTTGACGTCAACCCCGTGTCTGATCAATGCAGACAAGACGAGCGCATGGCCGTTCGCGGCGGCCAGCTGGAGGGCTGAGAAAACTCCACCTCGTCGAAGGCTGGCGTCCGCACCGGCGGCTAGGAGAGCTTCCACGATCTCTGTATTTCCATCTCTCGAAGCAGTATCTAGAGGCGTTTCGTGGTGATGCTTGGCGTCTAGAGATGCGCCGTCCGCTACCAGCTTTTTGGTGAGGTCATAATCGCCACTGCGCACGGCCCTAGTCAACTCCGTGCCCTGGTCCACAGAAAGTCGATCATCAAGCATGGTGCTGTTATTGTCCATGAGAGGAGCTTATTCTGTTGGAAGGTGTGTACAGAAGAGTGATGAGTGAGCAGCTCGTCGGTTAAATTCTGACAGTCCCGCGGGGACTCCGTCACTGTCATTTCGTTGATTTTCTGCGTCATAAATTATCTCCGATGGTGGAATTTGGTCAACGGCCGGCCATCCTGCTGTCGCTAGGGTCCGTTTCAGCGGCCTCTCCCTTGCACTCGGAACGCGACAGCATGTCAAACGAGACCATTTGGCTACCACCAGAGGATGTTTCAAACGCCCCTCCAGAGGGTGACCCTGATCATGTTTCAATCACGCCGGCCGCGGTTGCTCGTCGAACACCCTTCCCTCTTCGTAGAAGTAACATCGACGGTATGACTTTTTCTTTCACTCTCTGCAACTCTGTTCTTTCTTTCTTTGCCTTTCGTTCTTCCGTCCCTCCTTGACCTGGGTCGATCGTCTGTATCCCGTTTATTGGCCTTTTTGCTTTGGTTTTTCTTTTTGTTTGCAGCAACAACAACTCTCCGCGTGAAGCGCGAAATTACCGTTTCCGTGTGGCCTCCTTACAGGCCATCAGCCTCGTTTCATTTCATTTCACTTGGACTTTGAGTCATTCTCCACGCGTTCCGATCCTCACCGCGATCGCTCATCATTTCCGATTTCTCTCTTGCCACACCTTTCGCTCTCCGTCTCTCGCGCGCCCCGCGCACATATAGATACACAACCACGCACACACATCCCTGCACAGCCATGTGGCTGTAAAACTTAGTGCGTGTCCCTTCACAGCCACGTGACTGAAAACTAGTGCCTGTGTTGTTCGGGGTACACCCTTGCTAACACACAACGCATACGCGTTGGTGCTTTTTGGTGCTGCTTCTTCTGTATGGAATTTTTAACGACTGGTGGTGCACCTATGTGCCTTGCTTTTCACACCTGTCGTCACGTAGAGGCGATGTATTTCAAACGTAGTATCTGGGTGCATGTGGTCTTTCGAGCTTCGTTGATGACATCCTTTTCACTCGGTCCATCCAAAAGCGTGATGAGAAGTGCACCATGCTTATCGATGCCGTTGTATGCAATACGCCGATCATGAAGCGACTGCGTGCCATCCTTCACTGCCCGCCTTACTCAAATAGAGTATCCGAGAGCTGGCCACAGAGCTGACTCTTGTCCACCACCCCACCACTACCGGGCCCCCTGGGGTCAGCCAGTTAAACAACGACGTACTTTGTCCACATGATCGTGGTCTCAGAGTCATCGGGGGGCAATGAGAAAAGTTGCTGTCTCGAGGGCACTTTACTACAGCAGCAGCAGTGCCACGCAGGCAAAAAACATGTAGCGCTGTTTCATCCCAAGTCTCTAATTCTCCTCTCCTCCTCCCTCCGTGCTGGCGCCTCTCTCTGTCCCTCGTCTTTCTCAACAGCTCATCTGAAACGTCTTCTTGGAACAATAGAATCGTCTTCTTCGAACAAAAATCGTTGCAGAACTCTTGAGGCCTGCTCAGGGGGGAAGTCATTAAAACTGACACCATCTTGTAGGTTTCTCTCTTCCCTGCAAAACTCAAGTATATATACATTCTTGCGCCCTCCGCTCGCCCTACATTTCCTCACCTGGCCCCAATCCCTCTCCTACCATGTATGTACCTGCCTCTCTGTCAATAAAACCCGTGCCAAGCCTATGCCTGCGTATTCGTTCGGGAAGGAAGAACAAGCAAACCTGAAACGGATGGAGGGCAGTAAAAGTAGAGCCAACAACATGTCCCCCGGGGAGTAAGCGGGTCGCAAATGTACCGTCATTCCGTGCGTCCCCTTGCTCACCATCATCGTCGGCGGGTTGTCGAGAAGTGCCTATTTAGTACACCGCACGGCGACAAGACAAGGGGGCAGGCACAATAACCAATCGAAAACGTTCCGCGGTCCTCGCTGCAATCCCCACCGTCCATCTACACAGGGATTTCATCGGATCGATGTAATCAAGAACCGACTCGCGGTACGTGACTTCGCCGAACGCCCTGAATCTGTATGCATGATAGAAATCTCCCGTACGATCGGTCCTTCATAATAGAGAAAAGACACCACAAAAACACGCAGACTTGCCGATCGTTCTTAAACCGTTTCCCGACCCACCCGGCGTGTTCGCTTCAGCCAGCTTTCGTTTTTCTCTGGTTTGGGTCCAATCCTTTACCCCAAACAACAACACCCGCCCAACGCCAGCAGTACATCATCAGACGGCAAACAGCAGCGGTACAAAGAAAAACAACCTCCACGATCTTCATACAGAAAGTTCCCCCTTCCCGTCCTCCCACCCCGACCACAAGGCCATCGAGGCTACGGAGTATTTCTCCAGCGTTGCCGGGGCAAAACACAAACCAGGCCCCAGAACGTGTGTCCGCCTAAAAACCTCCCTCGCCCTGGGGGTAACCCTCTCCTGCTGTGTATGGGTACACGTATTGCGCAAGCCGTTGGTGAGTACTACTTCAGTACAAGTTTATTGCCGTCCCCTCACCCCATACCATCCCATCCCGCACACACATTGCCGGCCGCGTTCTTTCGTGCCTTGAGTCTGTCTCCCGGTGGTTCGCAAAATCGGGCCTCCATGGCTCATCCAGCGTCTCCTCGAAACGCGCTCCAAACAAAACACAAAAACTGAACAAAAATTGTTTCACCACAACTGCTACTACTGTAGTTCGAAACACGGCCTTTTCCAGCAACAACAGTGGTTTTCTCTAACACCGAAAAAAGTGGCAAAAGCTGCGACTAGCGCCAATCAGCGAGAACGGGCAGGGCACTTTGCTCCCGTGATCCCTCGAAAGCACCGCCTACTCGTACGCGGATAGCCTGGCGAAAACCACGACAAAATTTGACCCCCTCCCCCGCAGCATCACACACTGGAACACCCACTTACTTGGTCCCCGGCTACGTTAGCCAAGCGAACCAACCCTAACCCCATGGGGGGGGGGGAGGGGTAGATGAGCCAGCCAGTCTCGCCTAGCGCTTCTTCTAAGACATGGGAAGAAAATTTTCAAACGTATTATGTACTTATAAACTTTCGATGTCGGGGGTACGAGACCGTACTATAAAATAATACATACAGCAATTTCTCACCCTCTACATGTTCCGCGTACCCGAACAGAGATGCGTCCAGTATGGCATGGTAAACTGCCGAACGGATGAAACCTTGACGAGACACCACGCCTTGTCTACTTGTCCTTTCCTCCCCCACGAACATAGGAAAAGGAGAAGCTACAGAAACGTGAGACAGCAGTGTGGGGTTTATTTTACATATACAACGATATCGTCGCATGCAAGCCCTGTACCTATATATCCCGCTGAGATCTACGGACCAACACGAAAATAACGCCACCCAAGGTGTTAAAAACGTTCACAAAACAACGTGCTTCGATGACAAGCTCCGAGATCATTTCGGGGAAAGCAAAAACCCACACAAACCATGCAAGAAAACGGCCGGGCTGCCCTCCTCCGACCGACAATCCTCTCTCCCTGCCCTCCCCCGCAACATCTCGCCAATAAAACATAGCCTCCGTCATAGCGCGCGGGAAACAAAACAACAAAACAACAACACCAAAACCCAAGCCGAGGGGCCAGTGCCCCTCGCTGTATTTCGTCATCTCAACCCCCCATCTATGTGGATGAGACCCAAATCTAACAACCGTGGTAGAACAAAAGCTACCGCCTGTTGCAATTGCGGGGCCCTCGCAAACACTCTAGAACAATTTGCCAGCCAGCTCATTGCGTGGAGCACGCAAACGAAAGATCTTCCATGAAAAAAAGTCTAACCATCCATGACTGACTTGTGATATGGCATTATGTTTTCAACGAGAAACACGCCCCTCTTCTTATTTGCAAATATGTAGATTTTTTGTGGTTATCCATGAGCGGCAGTGCCACACCCCGGCATCTTGCCGTCACAAAAGCTCTCTCTCTCCCTCTCTCGTGCAACCTCCGGAAAAACACGCCTCCTGAAATCATCAGCATATCCTTCGTGATGCCTTCACCCAACGGTGCCCGGTGGACGAAAAACATCTACCAACACTGCCCCCGGCTTGCGTAGAAGACAGACGGGTAAGGGAGAGTGGCAACAACCCCGTACCAGCGAACATGGCAATGCGAGAGAGAGATGGGGTGGGGGTTAGGATTAGTTTTTTTTTGCCCAAACCCTTTATCCTACAGAGAGAGAAACAACAGGTTCCCCCCCACACACACACCCTGTACGCCGCTTCTTCTTTCTCGCGCGCTAGAGGACTCCGAGGAACTCCCTGACCGTGTTGGGTGACATCGACTCGAAGACGAAGTCGTGGAGGAACCGCTCCAGCAGGAAGGTCTTGAGAATGAGGTAGTCCACATCCAGGCACCTAAACCATGGACGAAACAAGAAAAGCTTGCTGTTCAGAAAGAAGAGAAAGAGATAACCATCTGTCAACTACTGGCAACTCGCGCTACAGGTGGGTAAAACCTGGTGACCGGAAGCCGTAAGTATCCGAAGCAGCGGGTGAAAAGAAGAGAAACAGACCCAAAATCTTGCTTCGAGGACTATTTGAGCCAGAGGGACGTTGAACACCACATTCCCGACAGCCGAACTTTATGCACATCGACAACAAATATCGACTACATTCATATCGGTATTGGAATTTTGGGCTCGTGGTGTGGTCCCTGCCTACGTCAGCGACAGACGCACACACTACTTCATACCCTGCCAACCCCACGCCCAACAACCGCGACGGGGCGATGGCCTTCCGAGTGCAGCGAGAAGAAACAAACTCTCGCATCTGTGTCCAGTCCCCAACAGCCGAGAGGCGTTTTGGTGTTTCCGGGGCCACAGTTGTTCGTATTTATCCCCGAACATTCTTGTTATTTTCATCACTTCAAATCAGCGCTCACAAACAGCACCAACTGGCATCACTGATATAACTCAGTGTACAGGCTGACACAAACTCAAAATAACCCAGTTTCCAGTCGGTTTCAATCCACTTACTGAAAAGACTTCACCACATCCCTTTCAACTGAGGTTGTATCTCGAACGGGTAGTTTTTCTGTGAGGTCATGGATAGTTTCTAAAAAGCATTTCTGCCCGGGTAGGAGCTCCAAATCGGAATAATAAGCCACACACGGAAGGGCTCCTTCCCCCTGAGGCCCCCCGCCCATCCCTCCATCGGAACACTTGTACAAAAAGATCGAGAAGCTGCCGTGTCGCTCGCGGCGACACGATTTTCACCGAAAAAACTGAAAACATGTAGGAATAATGCTCGTGTGTCTGTTGGAGGTATCCTGCGGCACTGCTGTTGGCGGGTTAGTTGTGAGAATGGCCCCGGGCACTTGAAACAGAGGGGACTTCGAGGCTACTGTAGGCACGGTGGTGAAGGCGGGCATTTTTTAACCGTTTCGACGAGTGATGGCAACGAAAATGACTGTACGTGAAAATCAGGGTGACGTGTTCTCCGATTCTACTGATCGAGCTGAGCGGCTGGCAGCAGCAACAACAAGAGAAAGCTGATTGGTGTGACTGCATAGGCGTGCGCGTGTACCTGAACCAGCGCTGGCGCTCCCGGAGACATCTCCAGCTGCACAGGGCGTTGTGGAACTGATCTCGGCGTCTGGACCTGGACAGCTTGCTCGCGAGCCGCTGGAACTCGGAGAATCGCCTCCAAACCCCGAGGGTTACCGTACCCAGCCCAACCTATGGCGGAGACAGAAGGGAAGCGTAAGTTGGGGTGGGCGGGTGGGTTGGGTTGGTGCGGACGCATAGTAGCAGGTTTTCGCAGTATTCAACACATCCGACTGGAGCCTGACAAAAGCAACAGAACGCGTCTCTCTCTCTCTCTCTCGCTCCCTCTCTCTCTCTGCCCCCCGTTCCTCTGCCTGTCCTGCGTGTCCTCCCCTCACTGTGTATGTATGTGTGTGTGTGTGTGTGTTTCTCTTGGTTCTCCGTCTCATTCTCCACGGATCAGCGTAGGGGCCACCGAGACAGCTATCTCCTCCTTCACTCACCACAATCAGATACTCCGCGTGCACGTCCGATCCCGTCTGCCGTACCGTGCCACATGCGTGTAATGGTGCGGGATCATCGCCCAACACGGGCGTGCGGAGGGGGGGGGGGGGGGGGGGGGGGGACATTCTATCAAGAAT